TTTTAATAATATTCGCAATTTTACGATATCAATTGGATAGTTGAATAAGTTTTTATGTTATTAATGTGTACGTATTTTTTATCACTGTAATCAAAAATATTTATGAGTAATGATATTTATTGCTTATTGTTAACGCATTTTGTAGACAATATTTCTATTTTGTTTTGATAAATGGCTAGATTACTAATTACTTATTAATTTAGTAAAACAATTTCTTTCATGGCAAGTAAGATAATTTAGTTTTTGTGCAAACATGTATTATGATTGCTAACTTCATGCAGTTTACCACAACTTTGTTATTTATTACATTTGTGTTCAGTGTATTATGCTTCGTTTTGCATGGTAAATTATGTACATTTGGGAAGTTTTTTCTTTTTTTTTATCAAATTAGATACCATTATCAAAGCAGACTCTACTCGTTATGTTTTTTTGCGCATTGTAGTCTTTGAGTGAATAATTTCTATTCAAGAACACACTGAATAGTTTTGAAGGTTCATTCTATAAATTCAGTTTGATTTTTTTAACTTGGGCCTTGAAAAAATAATCTGAACTAACCTTGGTTTACATTACCGCCTACGTATTACACATTTTCCTTTTGGAAAATATACTTTTTAGCTCATTTCGACAATTTTTAATTAATTTTGGTCGTTAGGTTAAGCATTAACTGAATAAATAAAAGCCTAATTGAAAATCTGCGGTGAATGTGGCTTCAACCAGCGTCAAGTTAATTAATTTGCTGTGGTTTCACTTACATTTATTTGTTAACAAATGTAACAATAATGAAAGTGATTCATGTTTATTTTATTCGTCAGGTGGATAATTTTTCACTGAAATGTTTGTCAACGTTGATAAAAACTCAAGATAATATGACATTTCGTGTTTCATTTTATTTATTTATGATTTAGAGAGTGTCTAATGCGAATGAACTTTGTGAAAAATTTGTTTTGGTAATTATTCAAAGTGAAAAAGACAATTTTACACAAAGCTAAATTCTAATGTTTAAACTAAAACCGACGTTGCATAAATTTGTTTGTGTTTGCTGTTTTTCAATATCTTTGTTTCGACATTTTGTATAAAATGTAACAATTTCAACAAAATGGGTCAAACAATAAACTAAAACCTTTGTAAAATAAGTCTACAACGAGGTTAAACATGGTGAAGTTTATTGCAGCACTAAATATCGATTTGTTGTAAGGTTTGTAAAGAAAGGGGAATTTTATTAGTCTATGAAGTTGTTTTAATATAGTAAAAATTTATAGTTTTGTTTAATTACACTTTGCTGCCAACTGGCCTAGAATATTTTTCTAATATCTATTACTGTTTTTCTTTTGTTCTAAATTAACTGATTAAAACTGTTTAGTCATCTAAACACAACTTTCTACGTTATAACAAGAGAAAATATTTAAGTGAAAGCAAATAAATTTTCTTGAGAGATAAATTCATGTCTGTCAAATTGAATTTTTAAAATTATAACATTAGTTAATTAAAATGTTAGTACGTCCGCCGATTTAAATTAAATTTTAAACAAGCTAAATTTTTGTATAATTTCAAACTAATTCCGAGTAAATCACCATTCTGGAGTTCCAATTTTCATTTAAATTACCATTCAATCTGTTTACGCTTCGCTCCGATAAGAGTACGTGGATTATCATATGAATAATTGAATGGTATTTGCATCTCGGGATTGTAAAATTGCTGTTTGTTTCATTCATATTAAATTCGCTGTGTGTGGGGGCGTTGCTTGCATGCATCATTTCGAAAGAAATAAAATAAAATGATACGAAAATAATCAATAACGCGACTTTTCGCTTTAACAACTATCGATTACAATAGCTGATAAGAATTGAAGAGTTTATTTATAAATAAACAAAAAAATGGGTTTGTTTGGAGAACAAATCAAACATTGTGTAACAATTGAGTATCACAAACATAACGATTTTATTGATAGCAGAATTTATCTCACAAGTTTATGTAAGCGCATAATTTTCGAGTGAAAGTCGAAAGAGACGAAAAGAAATTAAAACAACAGCAAAGCAAATGCCGCGACGACGTCGTGAAAGTTATTTTTATTAGTTTTGCACGCGTCAAATTCAATTCATGGAATTAATTTCTAATTAAGGGGATGTTTAAAATCGTCGAGAAAATATTGGAGTTTCTTCGGTCCCCGGTACGAAACAAATGAGCCAAATGAAAGTTTTATTTATAAATAACCGATTCCAGAGCCAAGAATCCTACCAAATTTCCACCATTTGAAAATTGCGCAGTGACTCATTAAAAATCGCGACTATTTTCGATTATAAATATGTAAATTCGCACATGTAAATAAACACGATTTTGAAGGTTGCTATTCTTTGTCGTTTTTATTTAAAAAATGCGATTTGACGACTTAAAACGCGGATCTACAGTTACGTAACGGGACTACAAGATGCATCAGTGAATTTGTCGTTTGAAGAGATTTTTTGGGAGTTAAAAAAACATATTGCACCATTTCCTTAATATGCGTCAATATTTTCTTAATTCGACGATTAAATTCGAGTTTGTTTCAGGTCGGTAAATATTTTTTTTATTTTGAAATTATCTCTGATGTACTCATTGCTGACTATGGGTGTAAAAGAATTGCGCTGAGAATCATGTTTTTACATAAAAGTCTTTTATATCAAAGGAAATTGCCACATTGCGTAGGTGGTAATAAATAACATTCTTGCATAATCTTTTAACATTGATGATTTATTTTGAGAAGTTGAAGCATCAAAGACGAGGCAATTTTTAACTGAAATTTACAGTTTTGAATAAATAATAAAATAAGATGCATAAAAATTTGGCATGAATATCAGTTTAACGTTATCTTATCATTGTTGGTTGTAAATATTATGTTTTTACGGAAATAGCTAGAAACATCTGGAAATATAAAATGTCTAGAACTGTATTTCGTTAGTTAACACATCTTTTATTATTTCTGACAGGTACACAAAGGTGCAGTTGAGAATTTTGTCTCTACAAATAAGTCGTTGTTTGAAAGATGAGTTAAGTGCATGAATTTTTACATTTACATATCGGCTATTTCAAGCTAAAACACAGTATCTGCTTTTTAATTACCCAAAAATATATACATAAATATCGTTTTTTAAAGGCAATTGGGGGTCTAAAACATAATGAAAAAATTTATTGTGCCAGATACTGCCTTTTTTATTAGTTTAAATAAATTTTAAAATTGAATTATGGCAAAAAATCAGAAAATTTATTAAAAAAATAACATTATTTTTGCCTTTTTCATAACTTTAAACCTTTTAAACCCTGCTATTTCGTAACGTAAAAGAATTATCTTAGATCTTTATTTTTGCTTTCTTTGAAAGGTTTATCATGTGTTTTGCT